GTATATTCATATATATGTATTTATACATATACAAGTATGTATATATTATTTATTATTGATCTAAAGAGGCTTCCATATTCATCATTTTATTAACCGGGTTACATGCGTTCTTTTTGACCAAAAATGAACTACGCATAGTAAATGCGCATGCGCCGAACGCACTGATTGATCATTTTAATGGTAAAAAATCGAAAACAACAACCAAGAACAAAGAGCCATTATTTTCGAAAGTTCCAAAGGGTAACTGGAAATCAACATAAAACTGGCAATTTAAGGGGAATTCCTTGCGCAGTAAATGTAACAATATATGCGAAAATATTAAAAATATATGTGAAGCAAAAAAAGAAAAAAAAGAAAAGTTGAAAAAATCTTTCGTGTGAAGTGCAAAACAGAGGTACTTAAGGAGAATCACTGCATTAACGGTAAATTAAAGCAAGTTTTATTGCGTTTCAAATAAGAACAAATTAAAACAAGCTCAAAGTGACGCTTTTTTCTCGAACTTTTCAGTTTTCTCCGACAGTTTGTTACACTTTTGTTAAGAAGAAGCGGACGCAGAAGGAAGTGGCAGCACTTGTTATTGTGGGAGCCACTGGCAAGCCGGGTGAAGTCCAGCACCGTAACTCAACAACGTGACAATGTTATTTTTACGGTATCTGAAGCCGAAGGAAGCGAGCGAATATGAATGCAAAAATGATGCGGAAAATAAATGGCGAAGCGGCACAATGCAAATCACGTCGGGAAAAAGGTGAAACAAATGAGTTGGCATTTCGGTAACCGATGGGCGTACATATAGATATACGACCGTACATAAATACACATATTATATACAGTGAGTACATGTACCTATGTATGTATGTTACACACATTTTTTGATACATACATATGTAGTTGCGTTGCCGCCGCGCACTCAAGCGCGTATACCTTGACTTTTCCACGCGAGTGAGTGCGGCAGCGAGCGCTAAATTCTCCAGCCAGCTTATTTGTATTACTATTTTTGGGTTATGACGCTCTTTTGGAAAGTGAAAAAATTGTTGGCCTTTTAACGGTACAGCAACAGCAATGACAACAATTATATTACAGTTAGCGTTGCTGCCAATTGAATATTTATGCCCCTTTTCCGCACTTGACTTTTGTTTTTGGATTGAAAAATTCTATTAACGCTAGTATGAAAGGCGGCGAGTTAGCCAGTAGCGCCCTCTTTTTCCGCTTCACTGCTATTTCGCTCGCCAAAAAGCAGGGCGTTTGCGCGCTTTGAAGTTGCTAATTTTTGTTGGCGCTCTTTAATTTATCGAGAAAATTTTTTTTGTAAATTTTTATATTTTAATGAACACGTTACTCCACTCTCCGTTAGTTTCGATCAACCGTTAGTTGAAGCTTATAATTTGTTGCGGACAGTTTTTATGCTAAATGCGCACACTAATTGCTGATTTTTTACGATAATGAAAGTTTTTCACCCATATTAGAAAAACGATCGAAAATTGCTTGGAATTGTAAGGAAAATATTAAGTCAATTTCAAAGTATAATCATTTTTCAACTTTAGTATCCAGCATATAAAAATATGGAATAGAAAAATGTATATTTGTTCATATGAATAGTAGAAATCTAGCTGCTTTAGATTCTGTTATAAATTATATAGATATGTATATAATTATTTAAAAACGAAGTTGAAAACTTTTTCTAATATTAATAATCCAAAAAAGATTTTATTTAACATTTTTATTTTATAATTTTTTCTTCAAGTAAACTTTCAATTATTGGAGGTAAATTTTTGAAGCTATAGAAATATAACATAAGCTAACTTTTTTTTAAATACATCTTTAAATAATTTTTAAACATTTTTTAAATGTTTTTTCTGAGTAATAGCATTTCACAGGAAATAAATTCTCGATTTAATAATTTTTTTCTTCAAGCACCACCACAAAGTATTTGTTTTTGTACTCTAAATACAGTAGTGGCGCCATTATGGCCGCCATATTAGAAGAATGCAATAGAATGCTTACAGTGCAATATTTGCATATATGTACATATGTATATATGTATGTATGTAAATATGTATGCACGCATTTATAGATAAATATGTTCAAATATGGATGTGCTTAAGTAGCAGACATGCTTTATTATACAATAACGGCATTTTTAAGCACAAAGCAATACAAACCCATAAGCATACAATATACATTTTACATACTTACATACACATATATATACATATGTATATGTATGTGACCTATGTAAATTTGTGTGATGACGCAGTATGACATTTGAAAAAAAGAAACAATTCTACGCCACTACATTGCTTTCAAGTATTTTTCCAAGTGTCAAAAAATTTACACACAACAACAAAAACAAGCCACTAAAAAAATTTAATGCAAACAGCAATACATAATGGAATATGTGGTGGTAGCGAAAATATGTGCGCTTGAGTGTGTGTGTATGTATGTGGCGCTATTGGAAAATACTTAAATATTATAAATATGTTTGTATGCATGTAATATTTACCGAAATAGCATGCGCTCGTGATGGCGTCAGCAGCAGTAGCAACAACAACAATACAAGTGTTTTTGTGGCAGCAAACCAATACGAAAAACGCCATTAAAATGGAAAATAAAAACGCGTTTGTTGTGTATACAAAAAAAACATTAGCTGCTGTTTTTTGTGTGACAACGCGGCGCACACATACATACAAGCATACAAATGCTTGCAGCTAGGAAACTTTTTGTTTAAGCATTATATTATATGTACAAGTATATGCTGCAATATATGATAAAAAGCATATTAGAAAACTATAAAAATAATGAAGAAGCTAAACAAAATGCGACTAAGAAGCAGCAGAGAAAGCAAAAGGTAGGAAATAAGGACACCAGCAAAGTATGTGGTGAGAAATGGTTGAAGGTGAAACCTCAGCAAGAATGAAATAGGCGTCAACATATCGATTTGAGCTTTAAATATAAATACTTACTTATGTGTATGTGTATATACTACATACATATAAAATATATTATATATTCTTATAGCAAGCCTACGAGTTGCTTAGCGGCAGTAATATTAATTTTTAACGGTATTATCCAGAACTTATGCAAGCTTTCAGTTCAAAATAGAGTGAAATCAATATGCCTAATTATTTTAAATGCTTAATTTGGTTGATTACATAACTATAACTGAAAATATTTTGAATACTAGATGTCCTAATTAAAGAAATTTCGCTCAAAGCAGCTATGGCATCGTTTTTTTACACATAAAAAACATATATTTATATATATATGTATATATCTATATGTCTATATACATGTGTATACACTTGTATCTCTCTGTATGGGTGCAACTGTCCGACCTTCCCACCAATCAAACGCAGTCCTTGCCTACATTTTGACGGTAAGTGGCACGCATCATTGCCGTCGCTGACGTCGTCATTGACGTTGGCATCGTTGCGCACTGGCTGAGCGTCAGCTTTTCGAGCGCTGAGCAATAGAGGCATCATTGGCGCCGCCAACAACGCCGCCAACGCCATTAAAAACTCATTAGGATTGCGCCCATAATGAGCGCTGTTTTACTATTCTATATCAAATGTATGCACAGACGTATGCAAATGTTTACAAAAACATATGCACGTATGTATACATATATCTAGTTGAGTATATATGTAAGTGTATAATACATATTATGATGCATGTAGGTAAATACAATTATGGGAATGGTTGCGTTGGAAAGGGAGCGTAGAACTTTTCCGTTTACTTATACACATTTTTATTTACTTTAATGTGCATGTGTGCGTGTGTGTGAACAATCCTGCAGCACTCCAGCTGTCTGCCATTTGATGACGCAGCATAAAGGCGGAGTGAGGGAATGTCTAATACATATGTATGTATGCCTGTATAAAATGATGACTGAAATTATTTCTTAAGAAAATAACGCATAATTGGTTTTTAAAAATGTTTTTGATAAAAATTATTGTACTCGTATATCAATGATTAGAAATAGAAATTGCACTCAAAAAAGTTTCTAAAATTTACATTTTACAGATTATTTGAAATAAAAAATACGCTGAGTCACTCTTCAATTCGCTTATAGAAATATTATTATTGTTATATTTAATTTTACTTATTAAAAAATTTTTGTTTTGTTTTTAATTTTCCAACTTACTAAAAAGTGATTTGCCCATAAAATAAGAATTTGAATTTAGAATTTCCAACTTATGATATCTATGGCGCTTGTGATTTTAAAAAATTACTCATACAAGAACAAACATAAAAGAATTTATAATTAATTTACTATTATTTTGGATAAATTATATATAAAATAAATTTTAAAAAAATTATTAATTTATTGTGATTTTAAATACATTTTTTATAAACATATTATATATCAAAGAACCATTAACTAAATCTTATTTTGCATATATTTTTTATAAAAAGATTAAATATCAAAAAATTAATCATTAATTATTTGCAATTTTAGAGAAATTATTTATACAAAAAAAGTTAATCATGAATTAATTATTTTTCCTTTCAAAATCAAAAAAATATTAAACTTTGTTAACAGTTAAAAATAACTTAATAAAATTAATTAATTTAATTTGTGATTAATTTTTTCTGTTCTTCCATAAAAACACAAAGATATTTTTCATTTTCAGACTTATAACAAAAAACCACACAAACCAAAAAAATTTGGCAAATAAGTTAAAAATATTTTAATAAAGTAAAAATTATTTTAAGATTAGTTTTTTTGGTATTTCATATAAAAAGAGAAACATTGAAATTTGACAAACAAGTTATTGATTATTGGTTTGATAATTTTGTATTGCAAAAATTTCGTCGACAGACTTGAAATTTCTTTTGACATTGTTGATGGAACATAATTATTTTAATCTAAAAAGTCTATGAATTCTTATCATTCGATCAGAGGTTTCTCAGAAACTCAAAACATATTCATAACCAACCAGCTTGCAAATAATCACTTAAATATGGAATATATATACATATATTAATCAAATTCAACTTACTGTGCTGATGATAACTCGGATAGTAGCGTCTGTGATGGCCGTTGCTTTCCAGCGCGTAAAAGGCGCTCATATCGGTGGTGTCCAGGCCGCCGAGGCCGCCACCGCCACCACCGCCGCCGCCCCCTAGGCCAGCGCCACCGCCCATCGCTGTGCTGCCAGCGGCTGTGAGGGCGTGATGTCCCAAGCCGGCGCCGGCGCCGCCCAGGCCATTTGCTTGCGGAGAGCTGCCCAAACGCGGATTGTCATACCAGCTGCGGGCGGCAGCTTCCGCTGTTGAAGTCATATCCATTTCGAGAATAATTTTGAAGGTTTTTTATGAACAACGAGGGCGAAGAAAAATTTCCTATTAATTGTTTTTATCTTTGTTTTTTGTTTTTTATTTGTTTATTTGTGTTTTTGTTTTGCTCGTGGTTGGTTGCCTGTTTGCTACTAATTAAAGACGACCACGCGCAATTTTTCGCGAACAGCTTTTTTGCACCGTTAACTTTTTGGATTAATTTCAATAATTTTCAGTGCACAGTTTGTCGAAAAGTACACATTTTGTTTTGTTGTGTTTTTTTTTTTAATTTTTTTAGTATATACCGCACTGGTGTTATGTATGTAAATAAATTTATTTGCCTAGTTTTCCACTGTTTTATACTTTATTAGTTTCTTTTATTTTTTTTTTTTTTTGTTTTTGTTATTAATTATTTACTTTGCTGTGCATCAACTGCTGCTTGATTGATTTGCGCTGTTGAGAAAATGAAATAAAAAATTCATTAATAAATATTTATAAATTCCTAATTATAAAATTTAAAAATTTATTGCATATTTATGGCGTCGGCACAATTTGATAAGATTTGCTTTGCCTCACGAACCGTCACAGTTAACCATCGACTGCGGAATAATGGCGTAGCATAAAAATATTGATTTCGATTTCTTTGCAATCAAACGATTTTTATCATCGCAGTCATTAAATTTTCGGACAGTAGCTGTTGATGAGCGCCGCGGTGGCTTATCACTGCACGCGGCAGCACCAAATCATAATAATAAAAAAATGTTAACAAAAAAAATCACTATAAGCAACTTCATAGCGCTCACATAAATTTGTTCGAATTTTTATGTGTTGTCTACAGCTCTCTTTCACTCTTACAAGCGCAGTGCCAGTGCAAGGCGGCAGCAACGCGCTGTAAATTTCAAATAATTGCGTGTATTTTCTTGTTGACCTTTTTTTTTTTGAGTAATAAGACACTTTTATGGCATCTTTTAGCACACTTCATCAAAATTTTAAAAATAAATTTCAGTTTCAGCGCCCTTGGTAAGCGGGTCTTTTGCGCTCGGTAAATAGAAAGTGATAATATTCACTGCTTTGCAGTGATAAAATAAGATTTATGATGTGACAGTCTTCTGTAGTTCGCGTTAGATATGTATTTACATATTGTATATGCTTGCTATATTAGTAATTATTGAAGCATAACTATTCACACCTTCACCCTCAAAATTATATTCCTATACTTTTATTAGCTTCAATGCTCATCTTTACTTTACAGTTTGTCAACAAAAAGAGCAACAGCAATAAAAATCTTAGTAACAAGAAACTAACTCCAAAAAAATGTTATACTCAAATGTTTATTGTCTGTCACTGCCTCAATGTTTGAAATATAATTATGTAGGAAATCAATCAAATTTTGTTTGTTTTTATTTGCTCAAAAAATTTGCGACATGAGCTGAGCGAAGTCTACAAACCTTCGCTCTTATTGATTTTACAAACAATTTCTGCATAAACCGTCTTCGATTCACCACTCTCCATATTGAAGTTACGCTCTTCTATCACTAAGTCTACAAATCTTTTCTCTAAATAATTTTAGCCGACAATTTTTGAAGTAGTTCAGTCTACAAATCTTCTTTCAAAATAATTTCAACCGACCATTTCTTAAATATACGTCTTCGATTCGCCACTTCGTCGCACGCGAGTTTGAGCTTTGCTCTCTTATCCACTAATCATATGCAATTTTAGGTAAATTAAGAGACCTATCACTCTCTTTTATCCCTAAAACATGTATGTCATGTTAAAATTTAGAAGTCACTGTATTTGCTTCGCTATAATAAAAATGTCATTTCTAAACGAAGTCTTGAGTGCATTTGAAGATACTTATGTAAATATTAGTATATCAGTATGAGTTATAAACTAAGAATTCCAAGGTCTACTTTTAGTTGCTCATTAAATAATGAAAACATTTGAAGTTTAAGATAATAAAAATATTATTTTCAAATTTATAAATTTAAACATATATATTACAAGGATTTCAGTTTAAATCTAAGGTTTCATGTGTAGATTTTTAAGCTCGTATATACAGTAAAAATTGAACTTGAGTTGTGAGCGCTCTTTTAGGGTTAAAATAACTGGAAAATATCTTAGTTTTTACAGAAAATTTACAATTTAAAAGTCTTGAATTTCTCAAAATTTCTTTAGCCGCTGCTTCAAAGTCGAAAAGTAGATATTTCTAAAACTTTTCCAAACCCCACCTTTTCCGAAATTCGTAATATTTCCCCTTTGTATAATTTATAACTTATTTGAAAGCATTCCAACACCTTAATATCCTGTTATACAAGTATCTACTAATTATGCATTACAGACAGGTGGCATTGACATTGAGGATGCGTATACAAATTTGTTAGGTGAGCCACACTTACGCTAATTGTTTCTAATTATTGGTGGTTGCTACTTTTTTATTGACGCACACGAAATTTCCTGTTATTTATAAGCATAAGAGGGAAAATGTGGAAAATATATTGGAAGCCAGCTAATTTGCGGTCAATTGCCTGCGCAATGAAGTGTGGCACATAATTTACTATTGTGTTTTTATAGGTTTGAGGCTAGATAAATGGAGATGTCAGGCCGAAAGAGAAGGTTTTTTATGAGATTTAAAATACTTACGAACAATAAAGAGGAATTGAGTTCTGAATCGATATTTTTAGGTGAATCATAAAAATTATAATTATGATTATAATATAATATTCAAATATGTATTTATAATTTTTTTTAAACAAAATTTGCGCTCTTTTACATTTGAAATATAATTTGGTTTTAGTTTGCATATGTAGTTAATTATACAAATTGTTAATAAGTTTTGTTTAGTTATGTAATGTTTTTTAATTTCGTTATAGACCAGATTGATATATTTTTTTGATAAAATATATATACAAGTATTTTTATTTTGAATAAAATATTTCTTTTTTTTGGTTTTTATAAATTTTTTCAAATACATATCTTTTTTTGAAAAGCGGTAATTTTGAGGTCTCTTTCTTCAGATTTATATATTTCTTGTGAAAACAATTTTTTTTGTTTTATAATATATTTGTTGTTTGTTTATGAGTTCTTCAAATATTTTAAGGTTTTTTGCAAAGCGTTACATTTGATTTCTCCATTAATATTCGCACATAAAACAAATTTTACTTTAAAAAAAAAATTATAATTTTGTGCATTTTAGCTGCCAAATAGTGACTTTGTATTAAGTAAAAATTACTCTTTGTTTTTAAGTAATATTTAACTTATCAAATCAAAACAAAGTCCATACTTGTTTCTAATCTTTGATATTTATGATTTTGTCAAGTGTTAGAATGTTAGATTACTAAGGTAATTAAAAAAAATGAAAGTGTTTAAATACCATATACCGTTATAAGCAAACGGAAATAAATGTTCAATTTTTAACATTTGAGAGACTAAGTGGCAGCATAAGTACGGAGTTTATAGGATTATGCCTACTCTGTATGACCTATGACAATTTGCAATACAATTTTTAGAAAATTAATTTACTTGCCAAACTTAAGGGCTTAAGTAGAATACCTATATTTTTTTTAGATTAGTGAATACTTAGCAAATTTCTGCCACAATTTTTCTAATTCAAAATAATTTGCAGCCTTTACCACAACAACAACAATTAACAGTAAATGAAGCTGTCAAATTGAAGCCTTAAACACTGCGTATTGCATTCTCACGCCCTGCCGAATTCTCACAATCACACATGCCAACACACACACTCCTACGAACAAAACACCTCCTCCAGTTGATAGAGCACTCAAGTTGCCACACAAGCAAACCGCAGACAACATCACTTCAACAAACAATAGCAAAAATGCTTGTCAATGTTGCCGGGCCGTTAAAGACACAGAGAAAAATGGGCTAATTTGCAATTGTCTAACAATTTCTGACAGTAAACAAAAATAATTGTTCCAAATTTTATTAACTGGTCAAAGGAAGGCAAACAACCAAAATCACATACCGACGCACAAATTGTGTGGCACAATGACGAGTGTCACAGTTAGCATTTTTATTCCCAAAAAAAAGGTAAAGGAAAAGAAAAAGGATTCCAAAGACCACCGCTTTGCAAGTGGCTGCAACGCGCCGCAGGCAGTGCAACAAAACGTTTTCTAATTTGGCGAAATTTCTGAAAAATCTCAATACCAACACGCTGAGCAAATCTACACAAATGTACAGACAATGGAGAGAGTGAAGTGTGATTGTGCATATGATTGTTCACATGTATGTATGTATGTGTATATGTGTGTAGAGTAAAGTGGAGTACTCATACCTTTGTTTTGAGTACAATCAACAAATGTGGCGCTGCACAATTAATCATTTTTAGCTGCCAATGTGAAATGTGCAATGCACGAGCGACAAATACACTCACATATCACAGGTATATATAATACAAGTATATATGCATTTACGAGTGTTTCAATAGTCATACAGCGGAGTATAAGCTAGAAGATCATTAGTGTATAGCAGTCAAAATAAAACAAAAACAATAATAATTACATGTAAAGTTGCGAAAAAAAATAAAATTGAAGAAAATAGAACGAAAAAAAAATGACTCACGCCTAAAAGGACTTTTCGTAAAAATATAATTGAAAATGAAATACAAATATTATATATGGTGTTTCCAACTATTCAATAGATTTTTAGAGTCATAAATGCTTATTGATATTGAAGCAATAAGATCTTTTTCGAATTACAAACACCAAATGAATGCTTCGAAAAATTGTACATATGTAAATAAGACACACAATGGATATACTAAATTACACAAACAAATATTTCTCACACCCGCGGCGACTTTTTTGTATAATCATAAGGAAAATGCATAATTATAACGAATATTTTTCAACAGTTCAATATAATATAATAGCCCTTAACAATATTGTAACAATAATCTGAATCAAAAAATATTAATTTTTATGCATAAAATATTTACTGCTTTCTCGATTAAAAATCACATCACAAAAAGTAACACTAAAATATATTCAAGTTGTAAATTAAAGAAAAATTGATTATTTCCAATATAATCCAATGATATCAATAATTATTTTTCAAATCAGTTGTCAATAAATTTAATTTTGTCATAAAAAAATTTACATAAACTTTATTTTTAATATGTCGTAGTTCTTAAGGCTACCAAAGTGTGATGTTTATAAATGGAAACTTGAGGCTTTAAAATACTTTTTTCGAATTTCTAAACTTACTAATATTTTAAAAAATAATTTAATAAACTAAAACATAATAACACCTTAGTTTATTATAATTTTGTGTAAAATATACTAGCAGCTAATAGCAGAACTGTAAAATCAATATTCATAGTATTATAGTTATAAAAAAAAATTTAAAGCAAAATTGAAAATACATTTTTTTTATAACTTTTGAATATTTTAGTATTAATTTGTTAAATGAAATTTCTTTTCTACTACCAAAAATAACTTAATAATTTTTGTCGGAAAATAATTCACAAATAAAAAAATAAAAAATTATTTAAAAATATTTAATTGATTATTTTCAGTTTTTATAATTTAAAAATAATTGGAAAAAAATGACTTATAAACTTTTTCCGCTTTAAAATATAATTTTATGAAATAAGTAATGATTATTTAATTATATATGGTAAACGTGTAAAATATACTAGCAACTGTGATTAGGTCAATATTTACAACAAAGCCGCCACTTACTCATTCTATGCATTGTAACTATATTCAATATTTTAAAACAATCGCAATAAATGTTCATAAATCACGTGCCTTCCTACTGATCCTCAATCTAGTTCTATTTCTTGACTCTATCACCCTTTCAGCTACTGTACAATTAACACTATCGTTTCATTATCGATCATAAGCAATTTTATCAGCGCCCAAAACTGTTTGAGCTAAATCAATCAGAGTGAAACTTTTAATTTCAACAATATATGTTGGCATGTTTGTATGTATGGCAGATATATGTGGCATGAAAATACCAAGTGTTTCAGTAGAGCACCTAATTTATTTACACAAAAAATTTTATTAGTTATCAGCAAATACTCATACACTATCTAGATATATTCGCAACAACAACGTGCAACAGGTTTAAAAATTTCGTCAAACCAAGGTACAGGTGCCACAAACGCACACATAATCATCGTAGCAAAAGTCCGCAGCGCTAAGAACTAATCAAATGTTCGAATAGGTAGCCAAATTGGCAATGACAAGAAGTGTACTTTTATCAATCAACAACAACAATAACAACACTAAGTGGCACTATCACAAACATATCAAAGTTGAAAAATAAAGAAATCACACAAAAATGCTTCAGATGAAATCATAAAAAATCTATATACATATTTGTTTTTGTAAATTGCGCTGCTTGCGCAAATGCACGTCTTCATATTGACACTTGAGCGTGATTCAATGATTATTTGTTGTGAAAGTATTGAAGGAAATTCGAAATAAGTAATTCTATTGCGCTAGTTTGTTTGCGCACACAGCCATGCTTGTTGTTGTTGTTTGTTTATCTTAAAGTAAGCTATTGCCGTTGTAGCCGTCGCCTATATGCTGACACCCAGTATGTCACTTCCTTATCGCTATTGTCAATAGAAATGTTCCCAAGAAGGGTGACGAAAAAGAAGAAGCGGCATAGTTTACTTTTGATAAGTTTCTCGTCTTCAGTTTTGGGGAATTTTTTATTTTCAATTTCAATTTTGTAGGGCGTTGCGTATAGAACTCCGCACAGGTACATTTGTATTCCTATGAACTGCTACACCAATTTGTGCGCATTGCACTCGAAATTTGTCAACTTCAAGTAATTTATCAAAAAATCGTCTGCATTTGGTTTCTTATCAATGTTCTGGAGTTGCTTTGGATTTTTTTTTTTGAATTCTGCTTGTGGCAATGCGTTAGCAGCAATTATAGCGCTTCTACAGGTTTGATGTCTCAAAAATTATTATTGAAATAAAGTTTTAGGAATACTCTTAAAAGAGTAGCATAGTATTTTCTTTATCGGAATCAATATCTGTCTTAACTTATGTCACATAGCATTTTCATTTGAAAAACATGTTATCAAAAAATGTTGACTACACTTTTTTCGACTGAAATTTTTGTTTTTGTTGTTGCTTCAGCACGAAAAGAAATTAACAAATTTTTTTGAGCAATGCTGCGGATTTCAGCGTAATCGCCAGGAAAGATCGGAATGCATTTAAAGACACTATCTTTAGAAAAAATTTTATTTTTTAGAAAGCCTAAAACTATGCCGCATAACGTTTGCTGCAAAACAAAACGGAAAATTTTTATTAGAAAAATAGTTTATAATAAATTATGGAGCGAACTTTTTTTGACTACTGAAATTATGGCTTTTTCTGTTATTTCGGCATAGAAAAACCTTTCACGAATAGTTTTGTTAAATACTACTGAGGTCAGAGAATAAATTTGAATGCGTTCAAAGACACTGCCTTATAAAAACTGTTTGAAATTTTTCTTCTCAAAGATTTTTTCGAAAAACCAAATTAATTCGTGTTTAAAATCAATTTCTGAAATGTCCGCTGCGCTTCATAAATTTTACTATTGTTAAAAAATGAGTATATTACAAATACAGACTATTCTAAAATGTTAATATTTATAAAAAAAAGTGCTGTAAATATATAGTCTAAATTTTCAACTCGATGAAAACTAAATTTTCTTCATGAACATAAGTATATAATAAGATGATTCTAGTTTTATAAGTAGCTTTGTCTTAAAATATTTTAGTTTCAACGAGAAAATATAAACGTCATAGATAAAGGAATAAGAGAGGCCACGAATGTTGAATTTTCAAAATTCCAAAACCCAAACTATTTTTTTCTAAAAAGTTACGTATTTTGATTGGTCAGTTTGTATGGCAGCTATATGCAATGGTGACTCGATCTGCATAATTTTTCTTGCACCGTAACCTTGGACAATAATCTATGCTAATTTTTGTGAAAATATCTTTTCAAATAAAAAAGTTTTCCATGCAAAGACATGATAGCTATATGCTTTATATCGTCGATTCCGAGAAATGAACAGCATCTTATAAGTTGTTTAGTTAAAACATTTTTGAAATAAACTTAAAAAAACCACAAAATTCTCACAAAAATGAGCAGCACTTCTTAGTTGATGAGGAAAACTAACCAAGTATCTAACGGCAAAATGTACTCTGTACTCAACCTAGGCCTTGAAACCTACTTATTCCTTTCAGATTTTTTTTAAATTTGGAATGAGAACCATTTTCCATGCTTTATATTACACAGTTATGATTTGAAGGAATTTATTCTAAGTTTAATTTAAATAGCTGCTGCGGATTGCAGCCATAAACCGCAGAGTCAATAGTAAGGTCAGAAATATTTTTTATAGCCATGAAAAAACGCAATTATAATATTATTCGTATATAATTTTTTACATAGATTTTACATCTCCCCACAAGTATAATATATACTAGTACTGCAAACTTTTTTAATAAAAACAATAGTCGTTTTTCGGCGCGCTATCTTACCAAATTGTGCATTGGGCATTATGAGCGTTTCTCATTTATGAGAGTTGTGTCACAAGTAAATTTACACAAAATGCTTACTCTTGAGTGGAGTAAATCATTCGGTTTGTGTCCAAACATTTTTCACCAAATTACTATTGCAATATATAAATCATAAAATTTTATTTATTTTTTTTTGCTTTTGTTCTAATTTTTTATCAAGTGATGTTTTTCTATATTTGTCTGCTTAGCTTTTCAATTTTCTTTTAGCAATTTTAGCACAATTTCAGAGTTTGCAATAAATCTTAAAATCGACAGTTGTACAAGTGTTGTAACTCTTTATTATTTATATAAAAAATAAAATTTCGTTTGTTTCTTTGTTTGCTTGCTTCAAACTTTGCTCTACACTTACTTCACATTAGCAGCTAATTGGCGGCTTAATTTTTTAGTAAAATTTGTGTTTCATTTAACACTGCACATTTTCTACGTAATTTTCTTTATTTGTCACTTTGCTTTTCACTTCAAGATTTTTCTTTATTATTTTAATCAATTTTCATAAATCTTTACTTAACACTTTGTTTTTGTTAATTAGTTACTCTGTTTATGGCATATTTCCGCTACCATTCGAACATTTACGTAACACTGATAGGTATAATCGTCTTGAAATCGCTATGCGCTTTTATCGCTCCGCCGTTAGCTTGTGTCCGTATCCGGTGCAATTATGTCCAAAAATATCGTCAAATTTGTGTAGATAAACTGCGGCAATTGTGCGCGCGCAAATACACCTACACAACCGCACACTGAGTGTGTGTGTCTTTAAGCAGAAAATAAAATACGCGCAAACATTAAACGCGCGCACAAAAGTTATCTTTTTCGCGCTAATATCCGCAGCGTAACTTTGCGCTCGCCGCGACAATACGCGTTCTTATTTTACTTACAACAAATCGAAGCGAATCGCAGCGATCGAAATACCGTCGTTGGCTTTGCGGGCGCAATGTATGCTTTCTGCCGACGCATTTGGCTAAAAAGAGTTACCAGCTAGCGCCAACTAAGCTTTGTTGTTTCGGCTAACGTTATTGTTATTATTCACTTTTTCGTAAGCCAACTGTGGGCGCGCGCGCGGGAGTGTCACTATGTGTAATGTATGAGCAAAAGCTTTAGCCGCTTGGCGGACTAGTAATGCACGCGTTAGCAGCTAAAAGTATAAATGTGTAAAATGCACGCACGCACGGATTCGACGACGCAAAACGGTTAAAAGAGTTTTCGAACGCCACATACACGCCAATAACAAACTAGTAAACACGTCAACGGTCGCAGACCAACTGAATTCAGGAAAAACACGAGACGGCACGAAAGAGATGACATACAAAACCTGCCGTCGCGGCAACAGCAACGCACACACGTGCACACGCTGCGACGCTTGTGTGAGTGCAGCCGCAATAAGAAATGGTGTGTGTTGAAGTGAATGCCGTTGTTGGCTGGCTGACTGACAGCTTAAGCAACAACAAGCACGGTTTGACTTGCCCAACGGCCGGTGGTGGGTTGGGTTGTCGCCACACTCCGCTGTGTGCGCGTGTGTGCGCCTTATTTGGCTTGCTCTGTGCGTTAATGGTTGCTCGCTGAGCGAACGCAACGTTCTGCTGGTGCGCTCACTACCGCACTGCTGTGCGTGTGCGAGCGAGTAGCCACTAATTGGCAGGGCAGTTGTGTGCGCTCCTCACACAGAGCGATAATCTTTCTGGGTGAATGGCATGAACTGTTATGTCTTTCTTATTCATTCTGATGCATATGGTTGACTTGGGGCGTAGACCAAAAACTTACCTGATTCTGGGAAACCGGTTGAGGCACTTTATTGAGTGTTTGTCTGCAGTTTTCGCAGTTGGCAATGCCGTTGCAGGAGTTTTCTGAGTGGAATGCGCTGAGCAAGGAAAAACAAAATAAAGTGAGTGAGTGGATAAGTGCTTATGGAGTTTTGTATAAGGTAGTTGCACTCGTGTTGCAATAATGCGGACAGTGCACACAAAATGCATGCATTGATCATGGAATGTTGGATTGAATTGTTATCTTAGCAATTATGTACATATTTATATACATACATACACACCTACATATAAATTTTGGTGTATTTTTTTAAACTATAGATCTATATTTCAGTACGAATAGGAGTATGATAAATTGAGGATATTATATGTTTTCGATAATTTTTAAGAATGATTTTTTTATAATTACAATATATCTTCTTATAATGATTCCTTCCAAGCCACATGAATAGATCGTTTACGAAAGGAAACATTAAAAGCTAGAGTTTAGGTCTTAAGCCACTAACTGGATTTGAAATATATGTTTTGAAGTTTCAGTAAAAATTTAACAGTCGTTAATATACACATATATGTACATAGAAGACGGCAGAGGACATCACAACGTGGTCAGAATTACAACAAAAGTTATACTAGATTTTCAAAAACTAACGATTGATTAAGTTTTTGTAATATCTATCATTACACTGTACAACACTCGGCTGGATATTGAAACAAACTAAGATTTTCGCGAAAAAATTACTCTGCATTTTTCGAAATTTGAAAAATTAGAATATTTGCATTCGCATTTCTAAATTGAGCGATTTGAAACAAATATTAATAATTTTAGTATATAGGTTATTAAAGATGTAAATACATTTTCAGGTTTCAAGCAAACGTTCAAAGTCAGCCAGTATTTTTGCAACAATTATTTATTATTTTTTTCGAAGAGCGGAATTTGATCCCATATAGTAAATGTTATAAAAGTTTGACCGAAAATTGTGCATATGTTTATTAACCACCTTATAACCTTACTATAAAATAGTTTTTCAACCATCCTAATTCCTAATTTCGGAATGCGAAGACAAATTGTATTTCGATTTAGCCACCGGTTAGTTGAAAAAAAAATTTTGTTTTGAGCAGCAATTTGAGACAATGGTAACAACATAAGAGCATGTCTAGCATTGTATGTAAAGCTGGAACTTTGAGTGGAAGCTTTTGCATTTTAGTTAAGCGTAATATTTTAAAAATATTCTCGGAAAATTTCAAGTTGATCCGATAATTACTATTTGAGTTATTCGACACATAAAAAAGAGCGCTCGGGACCTCTAGTGTGAAACTTTAAATGCGTTTTACTTAAAACTATGTTTTTTGAACTGGTGACAACTGTAACTCGAAAACCGCTGAGTAGATTTTAATGAAATTTATACAGCTTTTAGAATACATAATAAACTCGTGCCTGATTGCACCTTTTTTTGGAACTGGGACAATACAGACAACTATAACTTTAGAAATTGAAATTTTTATTTTGAAATTTTCCCCCCTCCCCCATTTATAATTAAGTTGTAAAATTTTTTGTAACAAATCGATCAGTAAAAATGTAAAAATTATATGGCAGCTATAGCAATAGTATTTCGATCTGAACCATTTGTTCGCAGGTTGCAGCATTACTTTGAATATTAATTTGTACCAAATTTCGGGAAGATATCTTGTCAAATTAATAATGATTCCATACAAACACTTGATTTTGCTTGATCAGTGTGTATGGTAACTATATGCTACAGTGGTTCGATAACGGCGATACCGAGCTTCTTCTGGGAGAGAAAAGAATGTGAGCAAAATTTCAGGTCAATATCTCATAAGCTGAGGGTTCGCGTATATACAGACAGAGGGACGGACATGGCTCGACACGCTGATCATTTATACATATGCCATATATACTTTATAGGGTCCCCGACGTTTTATTCTGGGTATTAAAAATTTCATTTTTATTACGAATAGCAACAGCAACATTTTTTAACTAAAATTAATAATTAAAAAATTTAAATTCTTTTACTTAATCTAATAATTCTAATAAAAATTATGTATCCAATGCATATCTGACATGTATGCATACATAATATATCTACGTAAGTATACATAAAATACATATACCGTATTATAAACCTCCGTCAACCCGAAAATGCTGATCATTTGAAATGTTTTCTTATTTTCTTTCAGCATTTTTCCTGCAATCCAACCCATTCAGCAAGCTCCAAATATTTTGATTTGTTATTGTTTTTTATTCCTTATTCTCTTGGCTACATGCACTACCTCTCAGCTTTAATTTCTGCTGCATATTACGCCTGCAGTAAAATTGGTCACTCACCAGCAGCGCTGCAGCCGATTGTCTCTTTCTAACGCCTTAACGGAGTCACTGCTCTTATTAACTGTATTCGCCTTTGTTATTGTTCTTAAGTTTATTAATGAAGAATTGACTTTTTTTACTTTCGTACTCAAAACTCACTCACTAACTAACTCACTCACTCAATATCTGGTTTATCCGTTCGTGTGTCTCTCTTTTGCTGCGTTTTCCCTCGCAACCATTCGTTGGGATTTCGCTCAATGTGTCACTCAATGCTTTGACGTAACGGCAGATCTCTCACAGCTCTCAATGTTGTTAGTGTGTTCCTTGCGGTTGAAATGTATATATAACAACGAATAATAAACAAGCATGCGAACAACAATAACACACGCCAATGCAACTGCAACTGCCACTTGGTACACACAGAAACACACGCATGTTTACACATATTTACGCTGTCATGGCAGTGACAACAATCGATCGTTCCGTTCGGCGATTACTCGGTTTATTTATGGCCTTAACATGTGCAGATTTGTCTTTGCTGCTGCTGCCTCCAATTGTTGCTACTATTGTTTTTGCTTTTGTTTTTGTTTATATATTTGCTCTTGTGTTTGTTGCTGTCATTCATTTAGACTTACGCGCAAGCGAGATGGCTTCATGCTTGTCGTTGATTCTGCAGCTAGTTGACCGTATAGCGGGCCCCCTTTGCGCCGCAAATCTACATGAATACGTGCTCATGTATAAACACAAATACATATTCACATCCGACTATGCATTTACATGCATTTGGCAGCTTCCTCCTCCATTGCTGCTACCATTGACCAGTTGGTGGGTTCGGCTCGGCTTGGTTTGGCCCAGCCACGGTATCTGTTCGAGGAAACGACATATGTGTCGTCACTGTGACTATTTGCTTTTGTTTTTATTATGCGTATCTGCACCCTTTTTTGTTGTTGCTGCATATGATAGTCGCCGTTGTCTGCATTTTTTGCGTTGTTCTGCATACTTTTTACGCTTTATTGTATTTGCTTGGGTTTGCGTTTGCTTTGTTCGCCTATTTTTTAGTCTTAATCTTGCTGCTGGTTTTGGTCGCTTTTCTGCAAGCTTTTCGCACAAAATGTCCGTTTGCCCTAAAGCGATTAAATGTTGGCTGTAAAAAGTGGCATGAAAGCGTTTTGCACAGTGTACGAAATTTCTTCGGTGCACAGCTTGAAATACATTTTTTAAGTGTAAGTAAAAAAATATTTATATTAAAAGTAGTAGAGCTTAAGGTGTACTGTGTTCAAGTTTTTAATTAAACAATTTTGGAGTAAAAGTACATTTTTTTTTAATTCCGAAGTTGGGATAAAAAATTAGATTTTAATTAGATAATATGGTTTAATTTTAATATTGATTAAAGTTTAATGTGACAATACTTATAAGCACAAAAATTAAATAAAAAAAAATAATAATTTAATGTATGCTAATATATATATATTGCTGTGATTGTCACTTGCTATTCTAAATTTGTATGCTTTACTAACTTAATATTTAAATTTTAGCTTCAATACTGAGTTTCTTCACCAAATATATAAAATTTCCTATATTTGATATATTTCTATATCATATATAGTTTCTATGTAGTTTCCACTGTTTAAAAAATTAAAAAAATAAAACGAAAATAAAAAAAAACTGGCTCATTACTAAAAAAAAACTTTCTATTAAATTAAAATTAAAAAATGAAAAAAAACTGTAACACAATTTATTTTGTTTATTTAATTATAATGGATAAATTGTTTTTAATTTTTTAATTGCAGAAAATCCAATTTACTCTTATTAAACGCACACTAAAACAATTGCAGAACCACAAGGGTTTCATGTGTCAAAATTCCCGCAAAATCAGAGATTTTAGTTGAAATTCAGAAGAATTTTTGAAGTAACAGCAATATTAAAAATATTTTGGATCTGTCAGTGAATGCAAAAATGACGTAATTCGAGGTTTTACATAATCGAATTTTCTATATTAAATCACTGGACAGTTAACCGAGTGTTAAGTTTTTTCAACAATATCTTCTTTAATGAATAATTGACTGCTTTTAAGCAGTTATGTGCAACCACTTCCAAGCAAGAAAACTCGTTTTTTCGTAATGTTTATAAAGAGCTATTTTATTTAATTTAAAAATATAAGGTATATTTACAGAATTTAATGTACTTTATTAAGCGATAATTAATTTTGAAAAATTTTGGAATCACTTGATCTCGAAGTCGATCTCCCGAAGGACATCTCTTAAGGATGTTTGGCGATAAGGAAGATTTTTCTGCATAACAATCAAAGGGCTAGTCAAAATGTTAACTT